TTAAGCGTAGATTCACGGGCGGTGTAATATATAACAGCTCGGAATTAAAAATCAGAGAGTCAGTTCCAGTTCCAGTCGAGTTCATTATATTGACTTACGCGCAGATACCCCGGGGAAAGTTATGAATCCACCTCTTCTCCCCTGTTATGGGTTAATTATTATGACTTGTATCGGTAGATCATTACTGAAAAAAATTCTTACAATCCAAAAATATTTTGTGGTATTAAATATTCTGCAAAAGTTTGATAACCCGTAAAAATCAAATCAAACAATCATTTAAAAAGCAATTTGTAACTGAAATTGAACTAGAAAAACAGAAGAAAATGACATTGTGTTTAACTAAAAATTAAGACTATGGCGACGGCTTTTATATATTTCACCAGAGGCAATTATAGCTTTTTTCCATATTTTAACTGCAACTGTCGTAATTAAATAATGGTATACAATTTACTCTATATCAACTCTGTCGATTATTAAGAGCAAATAATTAGTTATTAAAATTTCAATATTCTCAAATCAATTTCTTCCACTTTGTATAAGTATATATTGGGCTATATTTACTTGTGTATTTGAGTGTGTCCAGGTGTGTGTGTGTCTGTCTGTCCGTGTGTGTGTGTTTCTGTGTTTTGGAGCTGAAATAGTGTGTCCAGTGATAAATATATCTGGAAATTTTGATTATCTTTTATATACCGTATCCTTTAAGGATATATAAGATATTGATTCTCCACAACTTCTTATTCTATGCATCTCTATGAACCGTTTGTCTTTCTTCCTTATCCCTGTACTGACATCCGTTTAGAAACAAATTAAGTCACTCGCTCTTTCCCTTTACTCTTCCCTCCCTTAATAATCCTCATAATTCTTGAAATTTCCATGCTGTCTTTCCTCATATTGTGTAATAATGATGATCTCACTATCCGTTTGTAAAATCACATCTCTGTCCATTTGAGTCTCTCCTTCATCTATAAGGAAATTGCCCAGCATTCACTGCTGTACAGGAGTAAAGATATAACAGAAATCCAGGATTATTTCTTTGTTTCTATCGAATCATTCGTATGTCTTAACACTTTGTAGTTATAGTTAATTATTCTCCTTCACAACTCACACTTTTGTTTGCCAATTTGTGAATAGATTTTTTTACAGGAGCAAATAACATTGGCAAAAAAGAAAAATCCTCCAGAGCAATGTAGAAAAATAAAAATAAATGAGAAAAAATAATTTGGAGTAACGGAGATCGTCAAGATGATGTTCAGAAAAAAACAATGTCTCTCTGAAAATCGTCGGTTTAAGAAATGTCTCCAAATGAATCATTTCCGCGGGCTCGTTTTTGTTTCGACAAGTTCTTATCTAGTATTCAATTTGGAAAGGTGTTAATACGAAATGCGACTGTATGTTCAATTATTATTATTAGTTTGCTCCTAGGGACTGCAAATTCTGTATTTGCAGGGAAGGTGGTTAAGCATCTCATAACAAAGGTGAAAGGATAAAAACGAGAAATATAGAGACAGAGAGGCTAAGAGAAAAACAGAAACTAACGTGGAAACAAAACAGTAGAGAGAGAGAGAGAGAGAGACAGAGACAGAGACAGATATTAAAGAGAGATGGTTTGGTTTGTTTTGTTTTGTTTTACGACATATCAACCTCAATGGGTCATTTAATGCCGACATTTTTTTTTCTTGGTAATATTTTTGTTTTGTCAAAAATCTATTTCTGGTAATATTTTTTTTTTCAAAAATGTATAGCTGGTAATATTATTTTTTTCAAAAACGTATAGCTGGTAATATTATTTTTCAATAACGTATATCTGGTAATATTATTTCTTCAGAAAAGTATAGCTGGTAATATTATTTTTTCAAAAACGTATAGCTGGTAAAATTATTTTTTCAAAAACGTATAGCAGGTAATATTATTTTTCAATAACGTATATCTGGTAATATTATTTTTTCAAAAACGTATAGCTGGTAATATTATCTTTTCAAAAACGTATAGCTGGTATAATTATTTTTTTTCAAAAACGTACAGCTGGTAATATTATTCCTTCAAAGACGTATTGATGGTATGAGTCCTTTTCAAAAGCGTACCACTGTACTATTTGTTTTCTTCAAAAACCACATTTCTGGTAATAATTTTCTACACAGTATTTCTGGTATTAAAAAGTATTTTTACACTTTTATAATGCCTTTTACCACAGTTTCTGGGTTAACTATTTGCCCATAGCTGGGACCCTAACAGGTGCTACCACCCCGGACCTGGGAACACCAGCAATTAAGAGGAGATTTCACGCTCCTCAAAGCCTCCTGATCAGAGGCCTTGCTGTTGGACGGATCTAGGTAAATTGCTCGAAAAATAATTTCTCGAGCTAGCAATTCCTTGAAAGGCTGATTGCTCAAAGTAATTTCGAAACTCGAAGCACCACGTAAACTGCGCCGTCTCACGACACGTCAACGGAGCTGGATATAAAAGGAGCCACAGCACTCAACTTTAGCAGTCCTGATTTCTTTTTTTATATATATGTTTTCTATTTGTATTTCATTAATTTTGGAGATCTCGAAACCTAATGATGTACATAACTTTTGTTGAGAGCGAAAAAGGAAAGACGAAGTTGTGTTTGGATGGATATCTATATATTAAGGACAAAACAGTAAACAATCAGATTTACTGGAAATGTGAAATGTGCAAAAAGAAAGAAATGTTTAACAGGTGTTTTATTTTTTTTAACCACAGGTTTTGAGTAAATTGCCTTTCGAGAAAAAAAATAAGACCTACTATATAAATGTACTCGTTCTTTAATTTTAACTGATCAGTTAACAACAATAAAGCTGTATTATTTTATCTTATAGTAAATATTAGAACAATGTATTTTTTTTTCTTTAACCACAGGTTTCAAGTAAACTGCCTTTAGAGCAATTGATAGTTCGAGAAATTATTTTTCAATTATTGATTTCGGGCAATTTACTGTCGAGCAATTTACTGGATAAGCTGCTGGACGTAGTTTATCGTCTTACCCTGGACGCATTTTAAAGAGAGAGAAAGACTGAATGCGAATTAGTAGAATTACCGAAAGACAAAGAGAATGATAAAAAACACACGGAGTGATAGACAGAAAAAAGCGAGAGGGTGAAAGAGAAAGAGAGAGAGAGCGAGAAACAAAATGGCACTTCCAATGTAGATAGAGATCGAATGAAATAAGCATAAAGCGAAACAGGAGACGCAATAAGAGACAGAGAGAAAGATGGAATGACATATTGAATAAGAATCAATATCCGAATTAGAAAAAGAGATAGACAATCAGACAGACAGTGCCCACACTGCTATTTTATCTATAGATTTTCGGACATGGGTATGTGCATTTAGGACTCTCCCTACAAAATTTGTGAGAAAGTAAAATTAGATAGACGTAGCCAGAATTTGAACTCATTTCGCCAATATCACACTCCACGCTAATAACCATGATTGGACCAATAAATACTCCTCCGAGATATATTGCCTAAATCTTAAAAGAAGAAAAAAACAGGAAAATATTTTCGGTGTCTTCCTTCGGTTTGTAAAATAAGCGCTACGGAAATGTTTCATAAATAGATAAGATCCAGCGATTTTTTCTTCGATTTGATAAAATTGTTTTACACAAGGTTATCGGGAATCAATTTTATAATTTCGTGTACATTTTATTTTAATCTTCTGAATTTTATTTATTCACTTTCAAAAAAGATATAAACTAGAAAAAGACAAAATGGATGGTTGGTAGCAAAATATTCCAAAATGCTAATTACAAATTGGGGATGTTAAAATCAAACAAACACAAAAAAAATGAATTTAAATTTAAATATCTTGAAAACGTTCTAACAAACGACGGAAAGTGCAACACTGAGTCCCGAAGACGAATTGGGATGGCCGAAGATGCATTCCAAAAGCTAAGCAGGGTATTAAGAGACAGAAAACTTCGTTAGCAACAAAGAAAAGAGTAATGAAATATCTGTCCTTCTATATGGCGGAGAATTCTGGACAATTTACTCAAAAATCAAGAAGAGACTTGACGTAACAGAAATGTCATTCTACAGAAGGATGCTGAGGATATTTTGGCTCAAACATGTTAGTAACGATTGAGTTTAGAGAAAATGGAAACGAAAAGGAAACTTATACATAAGTTCAGGAAGAGTTATTTGACATTTCTAGGGCATGTAATGAGGAAGGAAGGCTTGGAAAGTCTGTTACACACAGGACATATTAAGTGAACTAGGGACAATTTAAAGCAGCACGTAACATATTAGATAGGCTTGAGTATATGAATGGTAGTACTGGCATTAAGAGAAATATCAAACACACAAAACCCATTATGAGCTACAAGCAACAAGAAGATGTGGATGGCCATGATCACATGCGTCCTGAAGAGACACGGCTCATAAAGAAGAAGAATGATAATGTTTTCGTTTTCTCTGGCTAGTTTGGGATTATTAAGTTAAGTCATAAATACTTTGTATTTATGAACATCATTCTTAAAAGATTAAGTACAATTTCATTTTATTCAGCTGTGTAGTCACTATTATTTGCAACGATCAAAAAAGGTAATAATTGATTGGTGCAAGGCTAGATAAATATGGCAGGTGACGTAAAACCGACCAACAGTGTTCCAATTTTGTTTTCCTGTATTAATCGTGTTACATACGACTTGTCATGAAGGAAAACAACATTTTTTTCTTTAATCCAATGTGCACGCTGCCACTGTCGTGTAAAACGTTATGTATGTTAGTCTAATCTATAGTTATTCTTGACTTCCACCTATACTAGTTAGGATGATAGATTAATCATTACGATAGTTTCTGTCAAACGGAAATTACGTTTGGCTCAAAATTATAGATGGATCTTCGCACTACTTGAAGAATTTGTGATATACAACGATAAAAATGGATACTATGAATCGAGGAAACTCATTTTAAAGCTGACCCAGCTACATAAAATACAAACTCTGAAAGGATTAACTATCATTGCAAAATCCTAATATT